CGTAAGATCTCTGCCTTGTCTGCGGAGGTCAGTGCGCCGACGTTCCCGGGCAGTGGAGCAGGCCCCAAGAGCGCAACACTCGGAACAATCGCCATGGCCCAGGCCTGAACACGGCGCACAAACGGGCCAATGGAGAAATCCGAAAAGAACCCCCGACGATTCGACGCCAAAACGGCGGCGGAGGAGGAGGCTAGGGAGGCGAGGACGGGGGCACTTTGGGCGTAAGCTTTTCGTTGCCTGTGGGTAAGTTGGGGCAGGGTTTCCCCACGCAGTGTTTGCAGAGGTGTCAGCCAGTCAGTCAGTCAGTTAGTCAGTCAGTCAGTCAGTCAGTCAGTCAGTCAGCGCGGAGTCAGTCAGTCAGTCAGTCAGTGTTTGCAGAAGGGAAAAGCGAGTCAGTCAGTATAGCCCCAAGATTGGCTTAAGCCGCCCACCAACCAACCAACCAGCCAAAAGCCAAAGGCACCCCAAACGCCCACAAGATCCCCAAGATATCTTGGAGACTTCCTGGAAGGCCCCTGGGCCCTGAAAGGCCGAGGACCCCAGCGGACCCCGAGGCACGCGGGGCACCCAGACCCCTGGGGGGCCCCTGTCGCCCCGCCCATTTCCACGCACCCCTCGCACGGATCGTGGAGTCAGGACGTGCAGGGCCGAAGGCCTATGGATGGGGGATAAGGGGGGACACTCCCTAGCTATCGACTCACTCGCCCCCCCCCCCAAGACCGTTGCCCAAGCAGGTTGCGAGTGCCCCCCCCCGCAGGGGGGGCCTTCGCCCCACACGCGTGGGTCCCATGCCACGGCGTTCACGCCGTGGCCGTCAACATCCGCTCGGGCGACGGCAGGGGGGGTAGGGGAGTCGATAGCTAAAGAGTCCCCCCCCCCACCCCAGGGCGTCGGTAAGTCCGCCAGCCGATCCACGGCATGTACCTCGGGCAGCAGTCGAGGCCACACCTCCCATCGTGCAACGCATCGGGTCACAGAGAGACCCGATGCGCCGATGGGCGGGCGTGCTGCCCGAGATACATGCCATGGATCGGCCAGGATCGGGGAAGGGAGCTTAACCCAGCCTACGACCTCCAAGACGGCACCCCCAAGACAACCCTCCAAGACAACCCTCAACCCTCCAAGACAACCCCCCAAGACAACCCCCCAAGACAAACCCCCAAGACAACCCCCCAAGACAACCCTCCAAGACAACGCCTTCAGAATCCGCCGCGTCGTCGTTATCGCCGTCGTCGTCGTCGTCGTCGTTGTCGCCGTCGTCGTCGTCGTCGTCGTCACCACCGCCATCGTCGTGGTCGTCGCCGGCGTCGTCGTCGTCGTCGTCCTCCCTCCATCCCTCCGCCCCGGGGGGTCCGAGGAAGGAGTAGCAATCCATGCACCTTCATTTTCCTCTTCCTCATGGCGCTTGGGGTTTGGGCCCGAACCGAAGCCTAAGTGGAGGCCCGGGGGCCGCTTCCAGGCCCCCCGAGAGCCGTTTGAGACTGCGGCCCCAAGACTGCCCAAGACAGCCCAATATTGCCAGCCGACCAACCAGCAGAAGACTGCCTGAGATGGCCCCAAGACTGACCTAAGTTTGGAAGGTCCCTGGAAACCGCCCGCCCGCGTGCAAACGCGGGCACCGAGGCGTAATCCACGGCCCACCTGACGAACGGCGGGCCCCAGGCAGATGAGCGTATATATATACACACACAAACCGCCCGCCCGCGTGCAGAGGCGGGCATCGAGGCGTAATCCGCGGCCCACCTGACGAACGGCGGGCCCCAGGAAGATGAGTGTTTATATATATATACATACATATATATATATACACATGGGCATATGTGTAGATGTATATGTATGTGTACGTGTATGTGTATATGTTATGTATATTGTATATGCATATCCGCCCGCCCGCACCGACGCGCGGGCCACGAGGCGTAATCCGCGGGCCACCTGGCGCCCCCCTCGGCGCATGAGTATACATATTACAATATATTATATGTTGCAGCTTGTTCCACGACATTATGTGCAGGGGGTAACGACGACGACGGCCGCCGACAGCGACGACCGCGACGACGACGGCGGCGGCGGCCACGACGACGGCGGCGACGACAGCGCCGCGGCAACGGCGGCGGCGTCCGTCCCCGCCAGGTTGGCGGTGTTCGTAGTGCTCCACATTCGGATCGCATCTTAGGCCCACGCTGCCTCCCTTTAAACGGCCGTCGTGATATTTTCGCGACGCCATTATTTCTTCAGCAACGTTTTCGTGTTTTTTTTTTTTTTTTTTTTTTTTTTCTCTCCAACATGGCTTGTCTTGTCGTCGGCGATGCGAAATATGTGGCAGGAGTGGGACGCGGCGCACATCGCGCGCGGACGTCTGGGGAAACCCCAAGAGGGATGGGCCATCCTACGCCGCTCCCTCTCCCGCGCATCGGGACAAGGGAAGGGGTCGCGTTTGGTAACTGTTTCATAAGTGGCCTTAAGTGGCCCTAACTGATCATATCTGGTTTGCGCAAGTGGGCAAGAGGTTAAGTGATTTGCATCACTTGCCAATGATGCAGCTTCAAATCCTTCTGGGTTGCAGATTGATTACAACTGCGCGCCTAAATGGTTTTCTCGCGCGCATGCAAGTTCGCGGCCACTTTCATTTGACCTATACCATGGGCATCCGTTTCGCAAGTGTTGGACACTTATGTAACTGTTACGTTCACTTGCCAGGCTTATATCATATCTTGCCTGGCTTAGCCTAGGTTGCATGGGTTACCAAATCATCTATATGAGGTGATCTGGGCCAAGGGCCCAAAGTAGAACATGCTCTCTCTCTCTCTCTCTCCCCCTCTCCCTCTCTCTCTCTCTCTCTCTCTCTTTCTCTCTCTCTGTCTCTCTCTCTCTCTCACACTCTCTCTCTCTCTCTTTCTCTCTCTCTCTCTCTCTCCTCTCTCTCTCGCTCTCTCTCCCTCTCTCTCTCTCTCTCTCTCTCTCTCTCTTCACTCTCTTCCTCTCTCCTCTCTCTATCCCTCGCGTTCTCGCTCTCTCTCAAAATCCCTCTGCTCGGAGCGCTGCTGCGAGCGCTCAATCTCGCAGGGGCCGTCGTCGGGGATTTCAGCATTTCCGCCGACCAAGCCAGCCGCGTCTTCTTTTCTCTGAGGCGGGCGACCGCTTGGAGGATCAATGTTTTGTGTCCTTGGCAGGCGGTGGATATGGATACATTCTGGCCCCCGGGCATAAATGCGCCGACGCCCGCCGCCCGCTGGGGCGCCGGGATCGGTTGCCAGGCGGTGCATCTGGATAATTCCTGCCTCGCACAGTCAACCAAGTTTTCTTTTTTGCACCGGGCGCGTGGCATCGCGCGCCAGGGGCCCCTGGTCGCCGCCTGCGCGGCTAGCAAAGAGCGGCCCTTTGGTGGGCTACGCCGTGGCCACTCAGAGCAGCGCTCAGCACACGGTGGAGGCGTTTGTCAGGGAATACTCCCAGGAGACCCCAGAGCCTGGAGGATTCCGCATCCAATGAGGGCGGCGGTGATATCCATGGCCGATCAACGACTGGCTTTCCACTGGCTTCCAGGCCCTCTTTGTCGAAGGCTTCCTTATCCAATGCCCCCACCGCGCGGGGTCCTGGAATCCCAGTCCCCTGGAATACCCATCTTGTGTTTCACAAAGTTTTTGCGGGGATCGGGCTGTCAGCTCCTCTGGGTCTCCAGAGCCCCCTGCGAAGCTGAATCGATTATGTAGACTCGTCTCCGTTCCCACCGCTGGGCCGAAAGCGCCCCGGGCCAAGGCGGCGGGCAGGCCAGAGCTTTCAAAACGGAAAAGAACGTCAGCAAGTTTATCTAGAGTTGTTCGAGGAAGATGCGCCCGCGGCTGCCGAAGCAGCGGGGCCGAGGGCTGAGTCAGACCTGGGGGTGGGGGCGCCTCTGGAGATGTAGGGTGAGCGTCGCGCGCGCCCAGGCAATGGGGGCCTTCGGGCTCGCGAGCCCAACTTCGGAGCCGAGCTCGCGGGGCTGTCAAGTCTGCCGCGTTCTCCCTTTGCCCCCCCCCCCCCCTCCTTCCGACTGAATGCCCGACCCGCCCTGCGATGTCGCCCTTCAATTCCGAGTGTCTAACCCAGAGTGCGACTGGGCTTACTTCGGGATCAAGCGCAGCAGCCACCCCCGCCCGCGCGAGTACTTTTTGCAGCCAGTAGCTCTTAGTTTCATGCCCCCAGCCGCGCGTGGAATGACGAGTTGCAGAAGGTTCTCCAGGGCCCCCAACGCGGCCAGCCCCGGCGTCTCATCGCTCACTCCGTCGCCCGCCTACTCGGCTGTGGTCCAAGCACTTTGCAAGTTCCCGACTGCGTCGCATCTTGGGTCACAGCCCCGGAGCGCGCCAGATTTCGCCATCGCGAGCAGCGCGATTCAACCCAGGCTCCAGGCGCCAGAGGTAGAGCCGACGGCCCAGATCTGAAGGCGACGGCGTCGCAGCAACCCAGGAAAGTCGCGCGCCCCGATGCGTGACCGACTTGCCAGTTGGCGAAAGCAGGGCCGCGCGGTCTTGGAGCAGCTATGTGAACATCATGAACGATCAAACGGCCATCAGCAGAACGAGCTTCTCATCCATGCGCGCTGGAGGTAACCGTCCGACCCGCCGGACGGAACTTGCGGCATTTTGATGCTTTCGGATCCGTGGTGGGGGACATGCGGGCCAATGGAATCGGCAGTATTTCTGAAGCCACAGCGGACAGATGTTGCGAAAACCCAGAGGAGACCGATATCACCATCAGTTCGTGAGTACCAAGAACGGGCATCTCTCGCGAAACCAACCCCGATTTCACGCCGGAGTTTGAGGGCGGCTTCAGACGCGGAGGAAGAGAGCATCATATCGCAAAACGGAGCACTTTCAGAAGTTACGGGTCCCGCAGACTGGCGCCAAAGGTCAGATTGTTGAGCCTTTTCGCAATACCTGAGATGTGGCCGAGTTTGAAGGGCTGCCCGAGATCTCGGTGGGGGAGTTGGGCATGGCCTTCACGCGGATGGAGCCGAGCCCATGGCAGGACCGGGGCGGAATGTTTGTCGCCGCTGGACGTGCAGCACCTTCCCGCCGAAGGAAAGCATGTTTTAGCTTCCGTTCTCAATCATATCGAGCTCGAGCTCATTTAGCCACGGCAGACCTCAGTGGTTCAACTGGTTCCCTCAAGCATCTTCAGGACGCCGAGTGATGGGCGCCCTTCGCGCGTCATGTATTCTCGGCCTCATGGTCAGCGAAACTCGCGTGCAATCTAGGGCCAGAGTCGATGGGATGAAAGCGCACGTTGAGATGTTGCCTTCGAAGGCAGCCCAGCCTTGAGGAAGGCGTTCCGTCAGACATAATGAGGAGGTGCATGGGCGTATACATATCACGTATGCGCACGCGACCATGGACATCCAGCCGTGCGACGATTCAGTGCTGTGGAGATGTCTGGCAACCTCAGCGTGGAGGCTGCACTTCCATCCTGTCAACTTTTCTCGGACTCGCAATGCTTGCGGCAGCGCGGCTCTTTGCGCGACCAGGTTCGGCCTTTTGTGCTCTCCAGTCCTGGGGGTGGATCGCGGAAGAATTTCGACTAGGACACAGAGTTGGGAACCGCGTGACTCCCGCTATCCACGAAAAGCTTCCAGCCGCTCATCCTCTGGTCAAGACGCGCACTTGGGTGGCTGATCTTCGTTTGTCAGTTCTAGGCGCGACAAGCTCAGCAATGCAATCCACGGATTTCAGCGTCGAGGGCGCATTCGTGCTCGCCGGCGACGAGATGCTCGTCGTCTTCCCCCCCAGGGCGCCACTATGGCATCCAGACCTTCGCTTGCTACAGACACCGTGGCGCTGTTGAAGCATCGTTCTTCTCGCATGTTATTTTCTTCTCTCTGCGGGCATTCAGGCGGGGAGTTGGCCTCGGCATCGGCGTCGGCCAGCAGGAGAGCAGCTCGCGCCGCGGCCGGGCGTGGGATCAGGAATGCTCGGCACTGGCGCGCGTGCGTCGCATGTCGGGGTGGGCGGGGGCGCCGAGGCCGCTCGCGGCTATTTCTCAGTTAGGAAAAGAAGGTCAGTGTCCAGACTGCGACGCACTGCGGTCGCCAGGTTAACGGTTGTTTTGGGGCGCGTCTGCGCAGTCCTGGACCCGGGCGAGCAACGGTCTGCGGGGCCGCCGGGAGGGGGGGGATGGCGGCGCCGCCGCCTTTGAACTCGGGGCCCCCGTGCAAGACCCTTCTATCAAGATAGATGGCCGCGGAAGACGCCAGATCAGCACCGGCAGACGTTTGGCCCGCGTTCGTGGCCAAGTTCCCAGATCTCTCACGCAGCGGCGTGGCGAGGCGCATCCGTGGCCCAGTCAGCGAAGCATTTTTCTCCAGCGCCGAGTCCCGCTGGGTGCTTTTCACCCCGTGTCAGCGGCAGCCCCGATGCAACGATGGCGTTGTCGGTTTGGGATGTTCTTCAGCGCGGTCGCTGGCGCCGGGGGCGTCGCGGAGTTGCGCGGCGAACTCGCCCGGGCCATTCGCGCGCAGCAGTAGCAGAGTGCGTCGTCTCCTTTCTCCGGAGGGGGGCGTCTCCGCAGGATTGGCAAACCGCCATTGGGCGCGCTGTTTGGCCGAATTTTGTCAAGGCCGCCAATGGTTCAGCGCTCGCCGAAGCCGCGCTGGTCATCGCCGTTTCAGGGCACTTGGCCAAGGGATGGGCCGATGCCCGATGATGGAGAGGGCCGGCGACGGCGCGGGGCGCAACTCAGCGAGAGGTTGCGCCATCGCGGCACTTTTTCTGTCGCGCGGGGACTCCCCCGCGCAGCGATGACACGGGCGCGAGCTCAGAGTCAGGGGGCCCGGCGGCCGAAGCCCCCGCCCGGAGCCGGCGGCGCGAATGTTCCCGTCTCCGCGGGCGCCCCTCCAGTTCCTTGGCCGCCGCCCCCGCCCCTTCGAATCTCTCGATCTTCGTTGGGCTTGGGTTGCAATCTGCTGGGAACGCTTCGGCAAAGGCCCCTATGAGAGCCCATCTTCTCTGCGGCGACGCGCGTGGGGCCCAGATGCCTGCCGGACCCCGATCAGGAGAGTCGGATTTGCTGTTGTACAGCTTGCCGGCCAGTTCCCCGTCGCTGCAGGGGTTTGCGGCAGATTCGGTCAGCGCGGACGACGCCAGATTGTCTGCCGGAGAGTTGTCTGCGCTAGCGGCAGGGATTTGGCCCCCCATTGGCGCGCAAAGTTTTGTCGCCAGCATCCTGGCTGCGGCGGGGTCTCGGGGCCGGCGGGTTAACCCCGGCCGAGGTCAGCCGTGGGCAGCGTGGATCCTTTGCCAGGGTTGGCCAACAATTACATGACCAATCCAGGAGCATCGTGGACTTTGCTGCCATGCTCATGACTTTTATTTTGTCGCAGGGAGGATGTGCTTGAGAAAGCGTTGCTCCGTGGATCCCCAATGGAAATGGGGTGGCCGACGACGCCGCCAGTCGGGCAGTTCTCGAGTTCCAAAGGCCGGCCGCGCCAGGATACGCTGGCGCGGGCATCGCGCCAAGGTGGCACGCGTTCTCGAGGGCCTTCCTCGACGCCATAGCCTCTGGTGCCAGGCCTCCTCTGACCGCGACTGCCCAAACAAAAGGCCATCATCGATCCCCTCCTGCTCGGGCCGCGGCGGCCCGCCTCTGCGCCGCTCGCGCGCTCGGCGACGATGGCGAACGTTGGGCTGCTGCCGACGTTCGACCTTTCAGAAGTTCAAGATTTCATGAATCAATACATCTTGCTTCAGTTGCATCTCAGTGGGCGGCGGGCTCAGTCGCGCGCCCAGCTGCCAGATCGCGCGCCGCGCGGAAGCGGGGGGGGGCGGGGGGCGCGCGCCCCATGAGCTGGATTTGAAGGTTGGGTTTCGCCGGGGAAGGGTGAACCAGCCGGGCCCGGCAGTTGGGGTTTTCTAAACCGCCCTGGGCTTTGCTATACAGCCTTGCCTTGTTCGATTCCTTCCCTGGGTGCGATTACTAAACGGCCTCGCTTGTCGAGTCGATTATCATGGGGCGGGTTTTCTCTCTGCATTCTATTTCGCGAGAGTTGGGGATATCGCGCCCCCGCCCGAACTCGCGATCTCAGGGGCGAGCGCAAGGGCGAACCCACCGGCCTCGCGCGCGAAAATCTGCGCAGGATCGACGCGGGCCTCTCGTCGAAATTCCTGCCGCGTGCCGGGAATCATGCCACGGGCCCAGTATCCTAATATGACGATATTTGTACACACGTATGTATTCATATGAATTTATATATAGGTATACACGCATGTATGAGTAAATACATGTGTGCTAATAAATCTGTAGACCATGTATACATTGTTTGTTCCGTCGCTTTTGCGGCTCGACCATTTTCTTGTCCATGTTTGTTTGCACTCTGTTTCTGTCTCTCTGTCTCTAGTTGCTTATTTCTGCTCTTTATTTCATTCCCTCTCTCTCGCACTTATTTCCCAACCTCGCGCGCTCTCTCTTTCTGTTGGTGGTGTGATGTGTGGTGCTTGCTTGAATGAAGTATGTTTTGTCCTAACCCTCCTGCGTTGGGTACTCGTTTTGAATAGAGCACTGCGGTCTCCGTTCTCCTCCTCCCGCCCCCCCCCTCTCTTCCCTCCTCCTTTCCTCTCTTGCTTGCCTTCTCCTCCTCTCTTCGCTCCTCCTCTTCTCTTCTCTTGCCTTTCACGTCATCCCTGGCGGGCTGCGATCTGCGGAACTGTCGCCACTTTCGAGGGCTGCTGGAGGGTCCAGCGGAGTGAGGCACCACGGGGACTCAGATTAGACCTCGCCATCCCTGGGGGGGGGGGGCTGCGATCTGTGAAACTGTCGCCACTTTCGAGGGCTGCCGGTGGGTCCAGCGGAGTGAGGCACCACGGGGACTCAGATTAGACCTCGCCATCTCTGGGGGGGGGTGCGATCTGTGAAACTGTCACCACTTTCGAGGGCTGCTGGTGGGTCCAGCGGAGTGAGGCACCACGGGGACTCAGATTAGACCTCGCCATCTCTGGGGGGCTGCGATCTGTGAAACTGTCGCCACTTTCGAGGGTTGCTGGTGGGTCCAGCGGAGTGAGGCACCACGGGGACTCAGATTAGACCTCGCCATCCCTGTGTGAAACTGTCGCCACTTTCGAGGCTGCTGGTGGGTCCAGCGGAGTGAGGCACCACGGGGACTCAGATTAGACCTCGCCACCCCTGGGCGGCTGCGATCTGTGAAACTGTCGCCACTTTCGAGGGCTGCTGGTGGGTGGCCAGCGGAGTGAGGCACCACGGGGACTCAGATTCTGACCACGAGCAATGCTCGCGTGCCCTTGCTCTGCGGTTCGTGCCACGTGGCGCTGCGACTCGAGCTGGCGGTCGTCCTTCGGACCCGCAGAAACATCTGCTGAGCTCGATGAGCTAGGGGAACTACAGGAAAGAAGTGCAGGAAACGGAGGCCGGTCATGCACTCGCCGATACCTCGTTGCTCTGTCATCGTCTTTGCTGTTGCATGATCCTTATCTGGCCTGCCGGCGCCGCGGCCCGAGCTGGCGGCCGCCCTTCGGGCCCGCGGGAACATCTTCTGAGACAAGTGGACGCCGACGCCTTACTTGCAGGCAGCGCATTGCATTCGCGGACAGCAGCATGGCAGACCGCAGTGCGATCCTCAGACGCGTGGTGTTGCCAAGCCTGGTGGAGACGCGCGTGATCGACCTGAAGTCCCAATCGCGCGTGCACCTGTACCTGCGTGGCGTTCCGGCACGCGCGTGATGCTGCTCGCTCCGCGTTCAACCAGTACGGCGCCAGTGCATTTTTGGACGATGGACAACCGATTGATGATGCGCGACCCCGGCGTTGAGCTTCTTTCCCGCGGGCCGCCCGCAGACCTGGCGGCGCGCCTGCGAGCGTTCAGCTCCCGCGCTGAAATGTGCGGGAAGGAGGCGGAGAAGCTAGCGGGCGAGCTACGCCTCGCTCGTTCCTTGCACTCTAAACAAGTTTTATCATGTGGAACTCTGCGACGACATGGCGCAGGCAGCGCTGCGGGTTTAGCTCGCACTTGAAAAACGCGGCAGTCTTCTGTCTCCTCCCGCCACTTTCATCGTCGTCCTATTCCCCGCCTCACCTTCTCCATGCATGCTGCTGCTTCCGCGATGGCCTTTCGCCCCCCCCGCCCTCCATTCCATCCCTCTCCTACCCCTCGTTCCCGTGCCCGTTCTTCTTCGATCCTGGGGCCTCAAGCTCCGTTCTTTCGACCGTCGCCCTGTGAATCGCGCAGCGCACGCGCATCCCATGTAGCTTGCACAGCAAATCGCCGCGTCTACACTGTCGTTGTTCCTGCTAATGTCGGCATGCTCCTCTTGCCATTTGATGCGCGTGGGTTGGGTACGTCGCAGGGAATTTTTCGTGGATTCTATTGTTTCTCGTTCTCAGGCGGGCCCGGCTTCCTGAGAACCTTGCGCGCGGCATCCAACAATTGACGCGTAAGCACGGTGCATTTTTGAGTTTCGAGTGCGATGTATTCCCTGCAGTGCACTTGCACGCTGGGTTCAGCCAGGGCCACCCACTGAGTGCATATTTGTACATCATCACTGTTGACCCATTCATGTGGGGGGCGAGTCGATTGCCAGGCGTGTCCGAGGTTTGGGTTTTTTGCGACGATTGGAAATTTGACATTTGTGCCGCTGGTTCTCTGCTGTTGGTAGTTGGCCTCGTTCGTGAGTTTGAGAGCGCTTGGGGCCAGTCCATTAGCGGACAGAAGACTGTTTGGATGCCGATCAGAGCCCTGGCCCGGGACGAGACCAACCAGCACGCTCAATTGTGGCCAATTCCCCAAATCGTTCGCAAGCACAAATCGTTGGGGTTTTGGTTTGGCCCGGACACGACAGTGCATGACGTGGTGCAATAACCGCTGAATAAGCTCCGGTCGCGTCTAGCGGCCCTCAACCGCGGCAATAACCGCGTCTCGCGCGCGCGCGAGTCTTGCCACCCGCGTGCTGGCTTGGAGCGTGTTCGGTTGGCCTTTGCTGTCTTACGTGAGCAATTATGTGTTGCTGGGCGACCGGAGCATGAATCGCATCCGCGAGATGGCATTGTCATTCCTAGAGAGGGTGCGTTGGTGTTCGTTTCCCTTTTTGTGCCACGCGAAAGGTTTGTTCAAAACGTTGGTCGAGGCCGTTGATCCCTACTTAGCGAACATTGCGCATCTAATTGCCGTGGCGCTCCGGCTGGAAGGTTCGGGGTGCTTGGACACGTCTCAGGTAGATTCATGGGCGCGCAATGCTGAAGCAGCGACCGGGCTCAGACCAGTGACATCCTTTGCTTTGGCATACCGTGCGTTTTACAACATCACAGGGTGCACAGTGACGGAGGTTCTGAGAGAAACCCAAGGCCATTCGGGCGGACGCGCTCGCACGTTCAGTGTTTACCTTTTGTTGCACCAGCGGATGCACGCAGCTGAGATGCCCACTGCGCGGCAGTTGGTCGAGGCTTGGCTGGCTGCCCGAGGGCTGCGGTGGCAGCCAGTGCAGTTCGCCTTGTCCAGCATTCCCACCACCGTGCCGGGCGAGCATCGGATTGCGTTAATGCGAAGGCTGTCAAACGGTGAGATGACAACGCGCCGCATGGCGCCCGCGTCAGGCAGGGACGTGTTACCCTGCCCTTTCTGCCATTCGCCTGCTAGCGATAGCGTTGCGCATCGTGACGCATGCGCGGTCGTGCAATCCCTGCGCAACAACTTGTCTCCCGAGCATGCTCGGTTGACAGTTCCACAGATGTGGCCCCAGGCGCAACTAGGGGGCGGTTCGGAAATCCAGCAGGTAATGGCGTTCACAAGTGCCATGGCACGGCTGCGTCGGTTGCTCTTGCAAGGCCACCAATTCTTCTCTCATGACGACATGCTTCGCCACGTGCGGCGCCCCAGTGATGATCCACGGTTGGCTGGTAGGCCCCATGAGCTCACGCGGTCAGAGAGGCGCGGGGCGAGAGCGAGGGTCGCGCCTACCTTTGAAACGGGGTGGGTGGCTTACGCCTCCGACGGGGCCGCCCGCCGTCAAGGGGCCGCAGGGCCGCGCCGAGCATCGCGCGGCAGCGTCCGTTTTCAAGACGGCGACAGACGCGTAATTGCGAGCTGCGGGGTGCACCTTGTGGAATCCACCAACAACGAGGCGGAGCATGCAGGGGTGCAGCTCTCAGTTGAGCATGCCTTAGTAAACCTTGCTCCGCGAGTCCGTTTCCTGTTGGATTCTCTGCTGGTGGCCCGTCAGCTCAGCTACAGCTGGCGATGCACGTCGGCAGCGCTGAAGCCGGCTTACGAGCGCACGTTGGCCGCATTGCGGCGGTTGCGTAATCTCCGGTCCGTCGTTGAGGTGCGCACTGACCACGTGTACCGTGAGTTTAACTCATCGGTGTGCAATTTAGTCTTGGACAGAGTTGAAGCCAACGCGCCGCCAGACGCGGCAGGACGTCACGCGAGCGTGAACTGGACGCCGTTCAGACACTCCAGGTCGGCAGGTTGACGCCTGGGCGGCATGTTGTGCGTGCTCTCCCCTCCCCCCCCATCCCCCCCTCTCTCTTGGGCCCGTCCCTGGGCCCCCTGGGGTTCTCCGCCCCGACTGTTCACTCTGTAGACATCGTCCACGCGCTGTACCATGGAGCGGGCCTGCTTCCTGTGCTCACGCCACCGGCGTGGGCCAGCACCGCTGTGCCTTGTTAGTATCATAGCGACGTTGCTGTTTGTATCTTCGCACTGTAGTGTAATTTTCACGCAACCCGTCTAGATCACTTCAGGCATACGATGTTTCGTCTGACTTCGGACCAGAGGATTTGTTAACTGCCCGGCGGACGTTGCTGTGAGCTAGCCACCGCACCACACCGGGGGATATATAAACCAAGCGTGACCGCGAGGTCTGCTTGAGTGAGTTTGCAGAAGAAACAAGTTTCTGAGTATGAACTTCCTCCATCCCCCGAAGATGGTCAGGGAGTAGCGCGACCCCCCTCCGCGTAAGGTTTGTTAAACGAATGACGGTGCCGAGTTCGGATGTTTTTTGGTTTGTTTTCCATTCGAATTTCTGCGGTGTTTCGAACATGGTGCTCCCGTTGCAGCGCACATTTTGAGATCGGGGCTTCGTTACGGTCGTCCAGACCGGCGCTTTCACCCCAGTGTTTGCGCATCGTTTTCGCCCCCCCATGGCCCCATTTTTCCGCATTCTCATTGTCCCCCCGCTCCTTCCATTCACGTCCCAGTTGCTGGTGTTCGCCCTCGCCCCCCTCACTCTTCATTCGCTCGTTTTCCATTCTGTTCATCCTCCTGCTCGTCCACCTCCTCCTCCGCTTCCTATGTGCGCTGCTGGCCCCCTTCTTTTTCTCCCCTCCGACGGCGAATCGCACGAGTTTGTGTTGTTCTGCAGGTCCAGGCTCGCCATGACACTCGTCCTTGGGTAGAGACAACAGAAGCACAATGGAAACCGATGAGAGGAAGGGGAAGAACGTCCTTTGTTTCTTCTCACTCTCTCTCTTTCTCCTTTATTTTTCTGTGTTCTGTTCTCTCTCTCTCTCTCTCTCTTTCTCCGTTTTCTCTATCTCTCCCTCCCTCCTCCTTCCATATCCTTCCCTCTCGCATTATACATCCCTTTCTTTGTCGCGTTATACATACATGTCTCTCTTTCTATCGCTCGTGCCGCTCTCTCTCTTTCTCTCTCTCTCTCTCTCTCTCTTTGTTCCTGTTTTCCCGTTAGTTGTTTTGGTGTGTTGCCCTCCTTTCTTTCTACACAGATATATGGGCACATGTGTCTATATTTATGTATCCAAATAGTTTTTCCTTCCTCTATCACTCTCACTTTCTGTTCTCTCGTCTCTCTTTCTCCCCCCCTCTCTCTCTATATGCATGTAGGTGCATACGTCTCGGGCAAGATAGGGACGGTGGCACGGAGGAGAAAAGGGGGGAGTTGGGGGAAAGGTAGCGAGAAGGGTGACGGGGGGAGAGGTGCAAAATAACGGCAGGGTGAGGTGAGCAGTGGGGCGGTATGTTGGGTATAGGTCTGTCAGTGTGGAAGATTTACCATCCCCGGCAGGACAGCGAGGAGACGGCGAACGAAGCAGTAGAGTGGTTTGCGGACAACCTCCTGGTTCCCAGTGTTGTTACTTTTGTGACTTGCATTATGGTCGCCGCGTGGGTGAGCTCCACACCATTGGCTCGGCTGTTGCCAGAGAGTGTGATGATAATTTTCGTCGCGCTGGTGCTTGGAGTGGTCCTGCGCTTCGGCACGAGCTTCCACTGGTATTCAGTATCGTTTGACCTATCCCCATTTCCATCTCCACGGGGCCATGGTATCTCAGCGCCACAATTAGACACCCCCAGTTGGGGATAGGCCCCCTGGATAGCTGGAAGTCAACAGCCTATATCCCCATCTGGGGGGTACATCGGCCAGTGGTGTCAAGGCCATGTCAGTGAGGGTGGGGATCGATTAAACGAATCTCAGGTATGTATCCCAGGCTGATTTCGATTTTGGTGTTGCCACTTTCCTGAATCTGGGGCTTCTGCCCGTCATCATGTTCAATTTAGGCTGGCAGCTGGACAGAGCTCACTTCATGTCAGAGTTCTGGCACGTGTCCAACTTCGCAGTGCTGGGCACCATCCTCACAGTGACCTTTATCGCCACGATCAGCTATTATCTCGGGCAGGCTGGGCTGCACTCCATCGATTCCTGGAGGGCCAACGTCGCCTTTGCGTGCTTAATTTCAGCGCTGGATCCGATGGCCACGATCTCCACCTTCAACAAGCTTGGGTTGAAGGAGAGGCAGCCCTTGCTGCATACCCTGGCGCTCGGGCCGACTAAAGTATCTTCGTCCTTGTGCTGATTGTTCATCGTTCGATTTTTCTCCTCGTCCTCGCGGTGATTCTCCCATCGTTTTCTCGGGTAGGGGCTTGCGGTTGGTGTGACAGTTGTTGTGTCGGGAGGCCCGTATGGCGACATAGATATGTATGTGTATATATCTATATGTACACATACATACATACACACGGTTTCACCGACTCGCTTCGTTTCGCCTCGGGAATGCTGATCGCATGGCGCCAGAGGAGACTCGCCGCGACCGGTACACGCCAGTTCCGCGATACTCTTCAGCTATAGGGTCCATGGGTCACGCGAGGCTGACAGGACCCATGGGCTCTATTGCGTCAGAGTGCTCAAAGGCCTCCCTGTCGTCGTTGGAGCTCAGAGGCTCGGAACCTTAATTGGGCAGAGGGTAATTCAGCCAGCGCGGCTCACGGGGATCACAGGGTTCCGAGGGCCCGCAGGCATGATTGGGTGCATAGTGGTCCTCGAGCTGATGAGCTCATTGGGGTTCTAAGGCTCGTCGGGGCCCTGACCAAACAGAAGTCACGGGCTCCTGGGCCCAATAGCGGGCGGGCTCATCGAGCTTCTGAGGTTCATGGGGCTCATAAGGGGTCATCGTGCCCACCGTGATCATCTGGCTCACAAGACTCATAACGGCTCGTGGGGATGATGGGGCTCGCACGGCCCATGGAGCTCATACGGCTGGCACATAGAGTTTCTGAGGTTCCTTGGAGCCATGCGGCTCGTGGGGTTCGTGGGGCTGATAGAGCTCAAAGGGCTCGCAGGGCCTATGATGCTCATAGGCGACATCTGGCTTACAGGGCTCACTGGGCTCGTAGGGCCATGGGGGCCGTAGGGCTCGCGGCACTGAGGACGTCGATGTGCTTGCAGGGCTTGACAGGCCTATCCAGCTCATGGGGCTGATGGCGCCGCGCCCACTGGACGCTCTGAAGCAAGGTTGCTCGTGAGCTCCTAGTGGGGCTTCTTCGAGGGAAGACAGGGCTCGCGGGGCTCAGAGGGTTCCTAGGGGTGATAGGGCTCGGAGGGGTCGGAGTGTTCTTGAGTTTATCAGGGACATCGGGCTCGTAGGGGTTGGAAGGCGCATGAGGTCTTGAGGAGTGTAAGGTCCTAGGGCGCATTGTGCTCTTGAGCTTTATGTGGTGCATATAGGGCTCATGGGGCAAATGGGGCTGAGTCTGAGGCTGAGGGCTCGTAGCGGTGACAGGGGTCGTAGGATCCGTCGGGCTCCAAGCGCTCGCAAGGGTTGTCGGGCTCCTAGGTGTCTTAGGGCTCAGGAGCTCATTGAAGGCTCATGGCTCGCAGGGCCGCTGGGGCTCCTAGGGTTTACAGGGGAGGGTCTCGGGGGCCTCTGGGTGGGCGCGTAGGGATCATAGGCCTAAGGGCTTATTGGGCGCGTGTGGCTCATTGGGTTCGTAGGTGTCGTAGGGCTCATGGGGGCATCAGGGTCATAAGGTTCGTAGGGGTTGTGAGGTTCACGAGGTCGATCGGGATATAGGGTGATATGGCGCATCAAGCTCACATGGGTGATAGAGCTTGTGGGGCTTCCGGGAGGGGGCTCTTGAGAGCGTTTTGGGAGCTTCGAGGGCGTCATGGGGGGCCTCTTCGGGGCTTCTGGGGACCTCGATGGCGTCTTGGGGACTCCGTGGCAGTGTCCAGGACCATCTTCTGGAGTACGGCTCGACATGTCAATTCGGTGTGTCCTTCTTTGGGCAGTGCTGAGGCGTCCGTCTTGCGGAGCCTTTATGACAGTCTGGAGGCCTTCTTGGGCCGTTTTGGGACCTCCTGAGGAGCCACTTTCGTCTTGGGAAAAGCGAGCTCGTTGAAATGTTTCAACAGAAGCTAGGCGAAATATGAATTTTGATGTCCAGAGCCCTATTGGGGGGCATCTCAGGGTTTCGTGGGGCCGAACATCCTAACCTGAACGCTTGAACCCTAACACCGTAGCGTACACGTTAACCCTGACATCCCAACCCGAACTCAACCACCGAAACCCGAACACCCTAACCCGAGCATCCTGACCAGGACACCCAAGTCCTACCAAACCTGAACACCATAATTCCAAAACGCTAACACCGGAACACCTCATCCGAACACCCGAGCAAGTGTGCATAGATGTTGTTTTCGATGCTTCTGAAACCGATCGCACTCCCCTTGGTGCAGCCTGTGCTCGCCTTCACGGGGTGCTGGGTCTTGGCCGCGTAACCCATCAGGGCGACCATGGCGAGGGCGCGAGTCTAGGTGGATGGTGCGGGAGCGAAGAGGGAAGTGCTCGACCCACGCGGAAAGCTACGGAAACGATGTCGAGACAGCAACAACAAGAGGAATGTGACGGGCGAGGGAATTGTTGAGGAGGCTGCCGACGAGCAACTGACGGAGGGGAATTGAGAGAGAAACAGAAGAGAGAGAGAGAGAGAGAGAGAAAGAGAGAGAGAGAGACTCACACACATGCAGAAATAAGGAGTGAGTGGGAGAGAGAGAGAGAGAGAGAAGCGAGGGAGAGAGGGATACCGATATAGGGGGAGGGGGCAAGGGAGGGAGGAGGGAGGGAGAGAGCGAGAGAGAGAGAGAGGGATATGTATATATATATGTATATACATCCGTATATACATATGAGGTAATAGGACATAAATTATCAAGAGGAACGGGAGACAGCTTGGGGTGTTTGAGAGAGAAAGAGAGAGAAAGAGAGACGGAGAGGGAGAGGGAGGGAGAGGAGGGGGGAGAGCGGGTGAGGAGCAAGATGAGGGAGAAGGAGGTGGAGGAGGAGGAAGAGGAGGAGGAGGAGGAGGAAGAGGAGGAGGAGGAGGAGGAGGAGGACGAGGAGGACGAGGAGTGAGGAGTGGTAGGGCGAGCTATTGCGCTTCCGACGAAGAGGAAACATTACGCTTCCGACGAGGATGAAGCGCTGCCCATCAACGAATCCGGAACATTGCGCTCCACCGAAAAGGAAGCATTGCGCTTCTGACGAGGAGGAAACATTGCGCTTCCGACGAATAGGAAACATTGCGCTTCCGACGGGGAGGAAGCATTGCGCTTCCGACGGGAAGGAAACATTGCGCCTCCGACGAGGACGAAGTATTGTGCTTCGATGGATCCAGAGCACTCCGTTCCAACAGTGACGAAGCATTGCGCTTCCGACATCGACCGAACATTCTCTTTGGGCGGAGGGCAAAGGGTGAAACCTGAAATGCCGTTTCGATTGATGTCCGAGAGTTGAATCTGCAAAAGGTGGATCACAACACGGATTGGTTTTCGATGTGCAAAAGCCCATCTGGGTCTCACCCGGGGCCCTCCACCCTAAGAACATGTTCAGACAGAGAGGGAGAGAGGGACCGAGAGAAGGAGAGAAAGAGAGAGAGAAACAGAGATATACAAAGCACTGAGAGAGAGAAAGAGAAGGATATAACAATGACAATAGAGAGAGAGGGGGGGAGACAGGGAGAGAAACAGAGAGATAGAGAGGGGGATAATGAGGAGGAGGAGGAGGGTGAGGGAGGAGGAAGGAAAACAAGGAAAAGGGGGAAAGGGAGGAGGAGGGCATGAACCTCCCATGTGACGGACAATCGTAAACCTGGGAGGGATCCCGACCAGTGCCGAAGCGGGCCCGCGAGGCTCAATCGGCAGTGGTTCCCGCACGTTTCCTTGGTCAGGGCCAACACGCAATTTCCCGAATACCAGTTGCACGTCGCTTCGGTTTCGCGGGTTCCTCCTGATCTTCGTCCTACTCTTCTTCTTCCTCCTCCGCCTCCTCCTCCTCGCCCTACTCACCAACATTATGATCATCACCCCCCTCCTTCTCTTCCATTCCTCCTCCTGGATGGCATTGTCATTACCATCACCGCCAGCTACAGCCTGATAGGTTCCCAAAACACATATACACACACTCGGACCGAAGCCCCCGCCGCATCACATGTATATTCGCACTCATTGCGACATCCGCATCGTCCTCCTCATCCCTGTCACTCCTCGTTTTCATCCTCCACATTCACACACACACACACTCAAACATATACCCCCCTCCTGAGAGGTTCTAAAACCACACAATCAAAACGAGACCCCCGCCTGGGATGCCCCAGTCAATTCAAAACAACATGAAGCTCCCGCATGAGAGGTCCCAAACAAAGCAAACAAGATGAGGCTCCCGCCTGAGAGGTCCCAGAACAGCAAAAAGAAGGATGCCTGGGAGGCCCCCCCCAAAAAAACAAAAAACAGACAGATGATCCCGCCTGAGAGGTCCCAAAACAACCCAAACAGGAGGAGGCTCCCGCCTGAGAGGTCCCCAACAAAATTCAAGAAACCCAGGCACCATGCCCATCACCCCTGTAACCGTCCCAAACAAAAACCAAAACCCAAGTTCCAAAGGAGAACCGACGCCGCTGCCCCAGATGCATTAGCGAGGGCCGCCATCTCCTCTGGAACGTTGTTTTTTGTTTGTCAGGTGTTCTGTGTGACAGCTACAAGGATGAGAGGCATGGTGTTTGGGTTTCTTATTATTTTTCTTGTTTGATCTCTCAAGCGGGAGCCTCCTCCTGTTTTGTGTTTTTGGGGGGCCTCTCAAGCGGACCCCTCCTCCTGTTTGGTTTTTTGGGGAACCTATCAGGCGGGGGCCTCATCTTGTTTGGTTGTTTGTTTGGGACCTCTCAGGTGGGAGCCTCTTCCTGTATGTGTTTCTTTTCTTCTCTGGGACCTCAGGTGGGGGCCTCCTCCTCCTCCTCCTCTTCCTTCCTCCGCTTTCCTCCTCCGATGGAATCCTTCTCCTCATTCCATCCTCCTGTCACTTTATTATGCTGCTGCTTCTCCTCCTCCTCCTCCTCCTCCTCCTCCTCCTCCTCCTCCTCCTCTTCCTACGCGAAGAGGCGAAGAAGAAAAGGCATAAGGAGGTTGACCCTTGCATGAGAACGATGAGGTCGATCTCTCTCTTTCTCTCGCCCCCCCACTTGCGCAGCTTTACTACTACTGTCACTGCCCCCGCTCGTCCTCTTTGGGCCTCTCAACCCGGCCGAGGTTCTCGGGGAGGCCGCCATCAACGACGCAGTGGCCATTACCCTCTTCACCCTGACCAGCCCTGGGGCTGGGGAGTCGGCGGCACCTGGGGACCGCCGCGGTAGTCGAAGAGGCCGCCGCGCCGATCCCGTCGAGGGGCCTCTGGCGGCCGGCCCAGGGCACCCAGGCGCGGTCTCTCTATTTGGGCGTCAGTCTGACGAGACGACGGCTGGTCCCATGGCAGACACGTTATCGAGTTCGTATCGGTCGGGCCACACCAAGCAGCGCGAAGATTTGTGGTTCTGAGTATGAGTGGCAGACTGAGTAGGTCTGAGTGTGTCTAAGTATGCGTGAGTCTGGATGTGAATGATCATTGATACTGTCAATGGCACGTGTGGGGTAAGAGTTGGTGAGCATGAGTTTGCCGAGTAGGAGTGGATCTGAGTGCATGCGGTCTTTGTATGAGTGAGTCTCAGTATGACCGATGAACATCAGAAAGCCGGAGGGTAACACGCACCTCTTGAAAGATGGCGCGTGTATCATTGATATTCTTGATCCCTTTCGAGTTTGGCGGAGTTAGGTGGATCTCGTGGCCAGCCCTGGTTTGGCAGACGGCGGGCCAGTGCTTCGGTCCTCTCAGGAAGGGCGGGAGAAGCATGTCATTGCTCACGGTCTCGCGGTGCTGGATTCATCCGCCACGATACCAGGGACGCAGGACGGCTTTGCGCGGATGCTTCGCATCGCACATACCCATTGAATCGCGTATCCATCGCGCCGCGGTATCCAGACCGCGAGGGCACGGACATGGACATGATCGTCGCTCGCGACCTCCAGGAGGGTGGTGCCATCTGAGAGCGTGTTTTCGCAACAAGGTTGCGGCAAGTGTCAGGAGATGTTCCGAGGTTGTTCAGATGACGCCGGGGACGACCGCGTGTCGGCTGCAGCGAGGGCCATGCGGCCCTCAGCCCCTGGCATGCTGCTTGTTTGTGGACGACGATCAATGGAGAGGAACCACGATGCCAAATAGTTTCCAGATGTCTGAAACATGTTTCAAGCATGTCTTAAACCTGTACAGGATATGTGGGAGAGCATGCTTCCACCATTATTCAGACATTGTTAACACATTCAAATTCAATGATGATATAACTGTTAGTGTGTCCATGGTCATGGCATCCGCAGCCCGTGCGGTGCCTCGGTGCGACGAGGGCCCGCGGGGAGAGCTCGGACTCCCGGGGGCGACGATAAATCCTTTCCTGGGCGCGGGCGGCGGAGGCCGCCCCTCCCCCCCGGGTTCGGAGCCTAAGGGACGGGGGTCGATGCAAGCGGGGGTCAGCCAGGGCGGGAGGGACTTTATCTTTGGTGTAAACATATACACACGTACTTTATGTATAGTGTGTGTGTATAGGCGTACACATTTGCACACATCTATCGGAGTAGGCCGCGGGCGGACCGCGGACCCAGGACAAACGGCCCTCGTGCCCAGGACCACGGACCAGGGTCGGCCAGGGCACTCGGGGGCAGCCTTCGGGGGGAAGCGGCTCCACCGACCACCCGATGTAGCTCACGCCTCCGCGGCGCGAGAACGCCGCCGCCGGCGCGGCCTCTGCGGCCTCTCGGCGTCCCCCGCCGCCTGCAAGCCGGGGCGGCCCAGCGAGCTCGGATCCCGGAGGTCGAGTAGGGGATCGACTTCGGAGCATACGGGGGTCATCCAGGGTACGGGACCCTGCAGGATCCTGCGAAGACCCCCTCTGGCTGACCCGGGTCAGCGAGTCGCTCGTGGCCGCGAGGCGGCCGCGCACATTGGCTGACCCGGGTTTGCGAAGACCTGCGTTGCAGTTTGCTCTTCTGTTCCTGCATAGCGTTTTTTTTTTGTTCCCTGCTGATCCGGGTTTGATTGACCTGGGTTAGCAGGTTCTCGACGGGTGTCCACGGCTCTGTTGGTTCGGCTGCACCGCGGTCGGTTGCGTTCGGTCCTTTTGGTGAACGTTTCCTTATGTAACCTCGGCGTGTCGACATTTTGCGGAAGGATGAAGCCGGGCACGTCCCTCTACAGGGGGAATATTCGAAAATAGAAAAAAACATTATGGGGACGATGGTTTACATGTTTTAGTATGTTTGCATATTTTTGGAGTGTAAAAAACAAAAATCGCTCAACATCCGCTTGTAAGGGGACATGCCCGCTCTAACGGAACGAGAGGGGGTGTGGAGGGGGAGGGGGGTCTGGCTCCGAACCTCTGCTCAGCGCGACTGTTTGCAACTGCAGTGCGTCCGATGGGGAAGACTGCACCTGCTCGAAACAGGCGCCAGAAACAGCCAAGATCTACTCCATGGGGGGATGGGAAAGGGGGGGGGTAGGGCCCGCGCCGATCGGCAAAACAATTAATAAAAAACGATTACTTGGTTCGGTCGTGTTTTGAGCCGTTGCTGCTGTCGCTGCGCCCTGCTCTAGTCGAAGGAAGGAGCACGGGGGCCATGAACAAGATGTATCGGGATTTTGTCGATGTTGGTCTTGGTCCATGTCAGCCGTCGCCCATTCGCGAGGATGGTCCACGAAAGGGCGCTGACCAAGATCGACGGTGGCCAAGATAGACGCTACGTTTTCGCGTTCAGTCTCGCTCATGGTCCCCGTTCTCTTCCCCTGCATCTGGCACAGGGCTGGACCTGAACGCTGCTTTGCTGGCCTTCGGCTGTGTGTTGTTTTCCGTTTTGGCAAGGGAGGCACAGGAAAACAGGCAGAGCAGCACGAAACGCAGAACGGAACACATAAACAAACAGCGTTGAGGTCCAGCCCTGCTCTGGGCTGCCTGCGGCCTGTCGGCTTCAGCCAGCCTCGGTCTCGCCGTCGGGCCTGGTACGTGCTCTGGCCCCGCTGCCGCCCTGGACGGCCTTGGCCCACCTCCCGCCACAGCCGCTCCCTCGCGCCTGCCGGCCTGTCCGCCGGGCCGCCTGCGCGCGCCCGTGCCAGCCTGCCATCATCTGGAGGTAGGGAAAGAGGTGTGGTGTACAGGGGTGTGGTGCCAGTGCTGGATCTGGCGAGGTTGGCTATCGTAGATAGCATCGCCATTTCCACCACTGGCACCACACCCCGTACCCCTTGCCAGCCTCCAGGCATCAATCGGGCAAGCGGGCGGCATCGAGGCAGGCAGGTGGGCGGGCAGGCAGGCTTCCGGGCACCTGGTCGCATGCGAGCGGGGGCGAGGTCGCTCGGTTGCCTGCCCGCGTTGTCGTCTTGCCCACGCTGGATTTGCCGTGTTGTGCCGTGTCAGGCTTGGCGTTGCGGCGCAGTTGCTGCGCCTGCCGCTTTTGCTGCTGGTTCTACATGTGTTTTAGCTGTCGTGCTTGCACATCAAGAGCCTATTTTCATTGGGTTCGTGGCACCACATTGCGAGGGACTGTGGCGTTGCTGTATCAGCTGGTCTTCCACATTGTGTGCGTGACTCGGTCAGTGTTTACCTCGTGCCATGAAGCTGGGTTGTTCAATCGCCCTCACAACTGCAACAGCAGCTTGCAGTGAAGCTGATACGGTGTTACAGTGGGGGCCCATGCAAAGAAACACCCTGCCTGCCTCCAGGCTGCCGCATGTTTCTTGGGTTTCGATGGTTTTTCCATGGAACACGTGACGTTCCCACACCAAAAATTAGTGGACGTCTTGGGGTCTCAGGGTTGGGTTTTTTGTGGAAGGTTTCTGGTGGTCGGGCCCCTACAGTATGTTACTTTGATGCGTTTGGCCTTACATATGATATGCTGATCTGGTTGAAAATGTCCGTTTTGTGTAAACATTGCTATGCGTGGCTTTGCTGCTCTGATGTGTTGCTCTCTGTTTCGGATCGACGATTCGTTGCTCTGGTTCGCTCCATGTTTGCTTTGCTTTGACATGCTTTGTGTTGCGACATGTCAATCCCTCGCGCTGCACTTCGATGTCCTACCATGCGACCCTGCTTATGTTTGTTGCAGGAACGAAGTCCCCAGGGCCGCCCGATTCGACAGCCCAGCCAACGGCCACGAGCGGAGCGGTGACACCTGGATGCCATTGCTCATCATTACCCTCTTCGGGTCCATCGCCCTGGGGTGCGCGCTCTCATGCTTGTTGATTTTCATGATGGGGTGCTTCAACATGCACGGCCGCGAGAGGCCGCTGATGTTGTGTTTTCTTGGCAGCGCATTTCTGGTGTTCTCGATCGCGGAGTCCTACTTGATGTCCGGCATCATTGCGAACATGGTCGCGGGCATCGTCTTCAGGTGCGCGGCTGTCCGCGGCTCGATTCCGTCGACCGTGTCTACCCAATAGTTTCGAGCAGTCGATGTGATCGGCCGTTTCCCAAGCACAGGGGAGGATCGGGGAGGAGCACCGGGTTCTGGGGAGGATTGCGATCTTGGCGGATCTTTTTTCAGCGAGGTCGGAGGGCAAGGACCTGGTCCTGCACTGAAGGACCCAGTTCTGGTGCCAGCGTACTTTGCTCTGTGTGGGTGGAACCACAGGGAGGAGTCATCTCAGCGCCCGTACAGAGACCTGTGAGGGTCCTGATGGAGCCTTGTTGCCGATAGTAGTTTCGCACTCCCATTGCCGCGGTTCCAGAGCGGACCTGGCATGTATCTCCAAGGCATCTGGAGCAGACTTAGTAGGAGCCGCTGCGTCCCCGGAGAGGTCGGAGCAGAATCGCTGGTGCGCGTCAGTTAAGGGATGAATCATCACCCGGACCCGACAATTGGCGTTTATTTAACGGCCCTGGGCGTTTACTAAACAACCCTGCCTTGTTCGATTCCTTCTCTGGGTGCGTTTACTAAACGGCCTCGCATGTCGGGGTGGTTATTATCGGGATGGATTTTCTGCCCTCTAGTCAGGGAGCTCAGAGCGGAAGCGTGCAGAAGGATACAGTGCGTATCGAGTATTCTCGGACCATCGCGTCACCTTGCACGGATCGCTTCAGCAACTGTTTGTTTTCGTCTGGCGACAATTGGTCTTACCGGGGGGCGGAGGGGGAGACCGCGGCGTGTGGGAAATGCTAGGACAGCTAGGTTTGACAGTGATTTGGGGAACTGCTGGGAAGAGGTAGGAACAGCGCTAGCCATCCTTACAGAATATCTGTATGTAGCTAGGGGACGTGGGAGGGAGATAGCTCCGATGACAGAAAACAATCAAGAGAAAACCCAGAAACACCGAAACAATCGAGCCCCCCCCCCCAAAAAAAACATAAGAAAACAGTTGTTTCTGACTTCCGTTTCCAGGGGGGGGGCACAATTCGTTCGCTCTCTTTTGCGCAGAGACCCAGCAATAGGAATCAGCAAGAAGGTCTCATGGCGCCGATATCGCAGAGCGGATTTCGTTCGGAAGACAAAAGGATGGGCCCGGAGTGTCCTGGATAATTACGTTTCTGGGAGCCAGAGACGGGGTAACAGCAGACGGGGTAACAGGAAACGGCCGGTTCGAGGCATCAAATGGCCCTTTTGTTGCAGTGCAGTTTTTCCCGGAAAGGGCGGGGGCCCAGGGTTCTCTTTTAGTTGGTAAACCTAATCCCCCGGTGCCAACTTGAAGGAGGCCGGCTAATTTTTTCCCTGATAAATATCGAGGTCGAAGGAGGCCGGCGAATTAAAATTTGAGGATGTCTCGAGCGAAACGCTTGTTTTTCAGAATTTGTTGAGGATGTCTCGAGCGAAACGCTGGTTTTGCAGAGTTGGGGATGTCTCGAGCGAAACGCTTGGTTTCAGAATTTGTTGAGGATGTCTCGAGCGAAACGCTGGTTTTGCAGAGCCGACCGCGACACGGAAAAGCGCTCCTCGCGCAGGAATTTCGAGGATGTCTCGACTAATTCGTTTGTTATTCTAGGATTTCGCTGAATTTCGGAAAGATGTCTCGAGCGAAATGCACGACCCCACCGTAGCACGACCACACCCCAGCACGACCACACCCCAGCACGACCACACCCCAGCACGACCACGCCCCAGCACGACCCCACCCCAGCACGACCACACCCCAGCACGACCACACCCCAGCACGACCCACCCCAGCACGACCACACCCCAGCACGACCACACCCCAGCACGCACGAACACCCCAGCACGACCACACCCCAGCACGCCCCAGCACGACCACGCCCCAGCACGACCACACCCCAGCACGACCACACCCCAGCACGACCACACCCCAGCACGACCACGCCCCAGCACGACCCCACCCCAGCACGACCACACCCCAGCACGACCACACCCCAGCACGACGCCACCCCAGCACGACCCCACCCCAGCAAGACCACACCCCAACACGACCACACCCCAGCACGACCTCACCACAGCACGACCTCACCCCAGCACGACCACGCCCCAGCACGACCACGCCCCAGCACGACCACGCCCCAGCACGACCACGCCCCAGCACGACCCCCCAGCACGACCACACCCCCAGCACGACTACCCCCCAACACGACCACCCCCCAGCACGACTACTCCCCAGCACGACCACTCCCCAGCACGACCACACCCCAGCACGACCACACCCAAGCACGACCACACCCAGTCGCACCCCCGTGGAATGTTTCGTGGTGTGTCTGGTTGAGTGGTTGCCTGTTCACGGGGTGTCTCGTGGAATGTTTCACGGGGTGTCTCGTGGAATGTTTCGTGAGGTGTCTCGTGGAATGTTTCGTGAGGTGTCTCGTGGGATGTTTCGCGGGGTGTCTCGTGGGATGTTTCGTGGGGTGTCGCCCAGTTGGGTATCGTGAAAACGTGACCATGCTGCACATGTCTATATCCCTTTCCGGGTTCGTGGGTCCATCATGTTTTTTGCTTTCGCGTTCGATGCAGCAACTTCCACATGCTGGCTACGTTGCACATTTTCGGCTGCTGCACTGCAACTTTTGGGCACTCTGTTACCCGGTCTGTGGGGCTTGTTTGCAGTTTTTCCGCAAGTAGTTGCCAACAAATTGCAGTGCAGTCTTTTTGCGTTGCAGAAAAATGCAGTGCATTTTTCCCGGAAAGGGCAAGAGCCCAGGGTTCTCTTTTAGTTGGTAAACCTAATCCCCCGGTGCCTGCTTGAGGGAGGCCGGCGAATTTTTTCCCTGATAAATAACGAGGTCGAAGGAGGCCGGCGAATTAAAATTTGAGGAAGTCTCGAGCGAAACGCTTGTTTTTCAGAATTTCTTGAGGATGTCTCGAGCGAGGCGCTGTTTTGCAGAGTTGAGGATGTCTCGAGCGAAACGCTTGCTCCGCAGAGTTTGCCGAGGATGTCTCGAGCGAAACGCTTGTTTTGCAGAGCCGACCGCGACGCGGAAAAGCGCCCCGCGCGAAGGAATTTCGATGATGTCTCGACTAATTCCTTTGTTCCCGGAAAGGGCAAGAGCCCAGGGTTCTCTTTTAGTAGGTAAACCTGTCCCCCGGTGCCTGCTTGAGGGAGGCCGGCGAATTTTTTCCCTGATAAATAACGAGGTCGAAGGAGGCCGGCGAATTAAAATTTGAGGATGTCTCGAGCGAAACGCTTGTTTTTGAAATCCCGATCGATAAATCACAGGGTGCGGGCCACTTTTTCGTGTGTTGAGGATGTCTCGAGCGAAACGCTTGCTCCGCAGAGTTTGCCGAGGATGTCTCGAGCGAAACGCTTGTTTTGCAGAGCCGACCGCGACGCGGAAAAGCGCCCCGCGCGAAGGAATTTCGATGATGTCTCGACTAATTCGTTTGTTCCCGGAAAGGGCAAGAGCCCAGGGTTCTCTTTTAGTTGGTAAACCTGTCCCCCGGTGCCTGCTTGAGGGAGGCCGGCGAATTTTTTCCCTGATAAATAACGAGGTCGAAGGAGGCCGGCGAATTAAAATTTGAGGAAGTCTCGAGCGAAACGCTTGTTTTTGAAATCCCGAGGATAAATCACAGAGCGGGCCACTTTTTCGTGAGTTGAGGATGTCTCGAGCGAAACGCTTGCTCCGCAGAGTTTGCCGAGGATGTCTCGAGCGAAACGCTTGTTTTGCAGAGCCGACCGCGACGCGGAAAAGCGCCCCGCGCGAAGGAATTTCGATGATGTCTCGACTAATTCCTTTGTTTTTGTACGATTTCCTGGAATTTTGGCAGGATGTCTCGAGCGAAATGCACGACCCCACCCTAGCACGACCATACCCCAGCACGACCACACCCCAGCACGACCAGACCCCAGCACGACCCCACCCCAGCACGACCCCACCCCAGCACGACCATACCCCAGCACGACCACACCCCAGCACGACCCGACCCCAGCACGACCCTACCCCAGCAAGACCACACCCCAGCACGACCACACCCCAGCACGACCTCACCACAGCACGACCACGCCCCAGCACGACCACGCCCCAGCACGACCACGCCCCAGCACGACCACGCCCCAGCACGACCACCCCCCAGCACGACACACCCCCCAGCACGACCACCCCCCAGCACGACCACCCCAGCACGACCACACCCCAGCACGACCACCCCCAGCACGACCACGCCCCAGCACGACCACACCCCAGCACGACCACACCCCAGCACGACCACTCCCCAGCACGACCCCACCCCAGCACGACCCCACCCTAGCACGACCACACCCCAGCACGACCACACCCCAGCACGACCCCACCCCAGCACGACCACACCCCAGCACGACCCCACCCCAGCAAGACCACACCCCAGCACGACCACACCCCAGCACGACCTTACCACAGCACGACCACACCCCAGCACGACCACGCCCCAGCACGACCACGCCCCAGCACGACCACGCCCCAGCACGACCACGCCCCAGCACGACCACGCCCCAGCACGACCACCCCCCAGCACGACCACCCCCCCAGCACGACCACCCCCCAGCACGACCACCCCCCAGCACGACCACACCCCCACGACCACACTCCCCAGCACGACCACACCGCCTTGGTTGAGTGGTTGCCTGTCGTCGTGGAATGTTTCGTGGGGTGTCTCGTGGAATGTTTCGCGGGGTGTCTCGTGAAATGTTTCGTGAGGTGTCTCGTGGAATGTTTCGTGAGGTGTCTCGTGGGCTGTTTCGTGAGGTGTCTCGTGGGATGTTTCGTGAGGTGTTGCCCAGTTGGGTATCATGAAAACGTGTCCATGCTCCACATGTCTATATCCCTTTCCGGGTTCGTGGGTCCATCATGTTTTGTTCTGGCCGTTGCAATTTTTCCACCTGGATCCCATGGTGGGTCTGTTACCCCGTTCAGGCGTTACCCGGTCTAGTGCTCCCTGATCGTTCTGGATTTCGAAGTGAACTTCGTGCGGATTGTTCCCGGAAAGGGCGCGGGCCCAGGGTTCTCTTTTTCTATGTAAACATGTCCCCGGTGCCCAACTTGAAGGAGGCCGGCGGATTCTTTCCCTGATAAATATCGAGGTCGAAGGAGGCCGGCGGATTAAAATTTGAGGATGTCTCAGGCGAAACGCTTGTTTTTGAAATCCCGATCGATAGATCACAGGGTGCGGGACATCTCAGCACGACCACACCCCCAGCATGACCACACCCCAGCACGACCACGCCCAGCACGACCACGCCCCAGCACGACCACACCCCAGCACGACCACACCCCAGCACGACCACACCCCAGCACGACCACACCAGCACGACCACACCCCAGCACGACCCGATCGATAAATCACAGGGTGCGGACCACCCCAGCACGACCACACCCCAGCACGACCCCACCCCAGCACGACCCCACCCCAGCACGACCACGCCCCAGCACGACCACACCCCAGCACGACCACACCCCAGCACGACCACACCCCAGCACGACCCCACCCCAGCACGACCCCACCCTAGCACGACCACACCCCAGCACGCACGACCACACCCCAGCACGACCCCAGCACGACCACACCCCAGCAGGACCCCACCCCAGCACGACCCCACCCCAGCAAGACCACACCCCAGCACGACCACACCCCAGCACGACCTCACCACAGCACGACCACCCCCAGCACGACCACGCCCCAGCACGACCACGCCCCAGCACGACCACCCCCAGCACGACCACCCCCCCACGACCACCCCCCAGCACGACCACCCCCCAGCACGACCACACCCCAGCACGACCACTCCCCAGCACGACCACACCGCCTTGGTTGAGTGGTTGCCTGTCGTCGTGGAATGTTTCGTGGGGTGTCTCGTGGAATGTTTCGCGGGGTGTCTCGTGGAATGTTTCGTGAGGTGTCTCGTGGAATGTTTCGTGACGTGTCTCGTGGGATGTTTCGTGAAGTGTCTCGTGGGATGTTTCGTGAGGTGTTGCCCAGTTGGGTATCGTGAAAACGTGTCCATGCTCCACATGTCTATATCCCTTTCCGGGTTCGTGGGTCCATCATGTTTCTGTGGACCACGAAGGAAGAGCACAGCAAGTCCACGTGAGATTCACTTCGTTTTTCGCTCGCCGGTTTGGGGTTGTGCATTGGCAAAAGTCCATGCGAGAATCCGCTGCAGCACGTCTGCAAGGTCGGTGCAGTCCAATGTCGGGGATGGCCGCAGGGCAACTCGTCGCATCACTGGGCAGCCTGGTGAGCACGGGCGTGCCGTGGCGCTCTCGGAGGCCGTCGCGGTGTCCGCGTCGGGGGGGGGCCGGTGGAGGAGACAGCGGCGGCCCCCCAGCCCAGCAGGCGATCGCAAGCATAGATCAAGGGGGCGCGGATCAGCGGCGGGCGGGCGGGACCTAAACGGTGTTTTGGGCGATTTCGTGGGCCGTTTGCGTTTCGACTTCGTTTTGCGGTAAAGGCAGATTCGAGGCAACAACGAGTGAAAACGAAGACGAAGCGAAAACGAAAAACACCGTTTAGGTTCAGCCCTGGATTAGCGACGGGTCCCTTTGCCATGGGAAATCGCCGATTTCCGCCGCCGAGCGAGGCGTCTTGGAGCCCTCTGGGGCCGTTTTGGGGCACTCTTGGGGGCCTCTTTGGTCGTTTTGGAGCGTCTGAAGCTCGAAAAGTCGAGAACCCCTACACACATAGAAACAGCAAATGGAAATCAACGACTTTTGCCTCTCGAGGCCCTCTTGGGGAGGTTCTTGGGGCTCTCTTAGGACTCGTCGACGACCTCGTAGGCCGTCCTGAACCCATCCTGGGCCGTCTTGAGGCCAAGTTGACCAGTCTGGGCCCGTCCTGTGGGCATCTGGGCCTCGGGAGCGCGAATCGGCAGTGCTGCTGAGAGGGATGATGGCCTCGGGAAAGGGGGCGGCGCTGCGCGCGGCGAAGTGCGACCGGGAGGAGGGGGGTCCCCCAAGAATTACAGAAGCCTGGCCAGGGAGACCTTGGCTGAAGTCGGGCACGTCCCTCTACAGGAGGAATATTCAAACATCTTCAAAAAATAGTCTGGTGGGGATTGTTCTCTTATTCATCGTTTTGCCGATCGACGCGGGCCCTCGCACCCCCTCTCCCCCCCCCTCGTGGAGTATATCTAGGCTGTTTTTGGCGCCTGTTTCGAGCAGGTGGGGTCTCCCCCAGAGGGCGCACGGCTCCAAACAGCCGCAGTAAGCAGAGGTCCGGAGCCATCCCCCCCTTCCCTTCCCCTTCCGCCCAATGTCGAAACGCCGCAAAAGAAAACGTTCACGTGACGATGTTTTGACTGTTTTAGAGCATGTTTGAGTATTGTTTGACTATGTTCGGATTTCTTCCAAAGTTCGCCTGTAGGAGGACATGCCCGACCTAAATCTTGGCATTCTTCCACGTCTCAACGCGCACAAGGCCCGTTGGCAGATGATGTTGCTGCTCAAGGCATCTGCAAGAGGCGTGCGCAATGGCGCGGAGATGTGACAGCTGATGTCGTACTTGGCAGCAGCGTGCGACAGCGGGTGATGGGTTCTCGCATTCACAGCTTGGGGTTTGCCATCATCAAACCGTAACGTTGGCGGTGCAAACGGATGCTTCTCAGCCAACATCGTGGCAACGTATGTAGTCCATTCGCGGAGCGAGCGAGAGCGTCGATGAGCACTCGAGCTGTTCGTTTGTGGACCATTTCGCTGTTCAGAATGCCTCCTCCTCCTCCTCCTCCTCCTCCGTTTGGTAACTGTTCGCGCATCTTATGTACCCTCGAGGCGTTACGGATCTCGGCTGCTCACCGAGCACGGCGAGTGTTCCACCACCGGCATGTTCGCTCTCTTTGGCAGCCTCGCGGACGTCGGGGAGTTATTGTAAATCACCGAGCGCGTTCCACTTCTCGCAAAGTGCCTACTCGCAAACGTCCGAAAACAAAAAACAAGCGCCTTGATGTAATGGATCGCAAATCCTTCTTGGCGGATCCAGGCCATTTGCGAGTACTGACTCTGCGGGTAGTGGAACGCGCTTGCCAAGTTAAGTCGGGCCTTTCCCTCTACAGGAGGAATGTCCAAGAATAGTCGCAAAAAATACACAGGGGACCAGTTTTCGAGTATTTTCGTTCAGCATGTTTGAAGAGGTTTTGACTATTTCTTACTGTTCGTCCAATTCCGCCTGTAGGGGGACACGCCCGACCTGCAGTTATTGTTCTCCCCCCATCAGTTGCCGAATGCGTGCCGGGGGGGGGGGCGTGGACGGGGGGGGGGCTTCTGAGGCGGAGACGTGGCCCCCAGGGGCGAAAGTCTGAATGCCAGCAAGTGTGCTGGATATGGGGGTAGTTGTTCACACACACACAACACAACACACACACACGCACACATCACACAACAGGAAACACACAACACACCACACACACACACACACACACACATACACACACACACACACACTTTTTCCCGGAAAGGGCGTCGGCCCAGGGTTCTCTTTTAGTGGGTTAACCCCCGGTTTTGACGGCTGTAGGGCCAGCGATTTTTTTTGCGATGCATAACGAGGTCGCGTAGGGCCGGCGAAATTAAATTTGAGGATGTCTCGAGCGAAACGCTTGTTTTTCAAAATTGGTTGAGGATGTTTCGAGCGAAACGCTTGTTTTGTGTTATAGATTGTCCTCTCCTGGGGACCTGAATTCTGAGGATCTCTCAAGTGGATTGCTTGTTTTCACGTGCCCAGGTCTTGAGGATATCTTGAGCGAGACGCTTGGTTTCACGCCACCAGGTGGCCCAGACAGATGTCTAGCATGAGGATTTGTTGAGGATGTCTCGAACCAGAGGCTTGTTTTCACGTGTCCAGGTCGCCCAGGCGGATGTCTAGCATGAGCATTTGTTGAGGATGTCTCGAGCGAGACGCTTGTTTGCACGTGTCCAGGTTGCCAAGGCGGATGTCTGGCAGGAGGATGTGCTGACAACGTCTTGAGCGAAACGCGTGTTTTCACGTGTCGAGGTCGCCCAGGCACAGCACAGCCCTCGGCACGGTACATCAATATCGATACCCTTAGCATTGCAGCCTGGCATGTTGCTTGGCACGTTCTGCGGAGCGTCTCGTGGCGAGTCCACCTTGCACGTCGCGCGGTGGACGTCCATTGGCACGTTCCGTAGCGCGTCCCCTTGGCACGTCCCGCGGTGCGTGCCCATGGCACGTCCCCTGGCACGTCGCCTGGCGCGTCCCTTGGGACGTTCCGCGGCACGTCCTCATGGCATGTTCCCTCTGTCGATTAGTTCTGCGGCAGCTACCATCTGCTCAGGCAGCTCGAGCTTACGATCCAGACCAGTTCGGTGAGGACTCGGATGCCAGGGAGGACTCGATCCACAACGCTATATAGAGCACAATCGCGGCATGGCACATCGCAGTTCAGCACGGCCCAGTACAGCACAGCCGTCGGCACAGTACATCAAGATCGATCCACTCAACTATGCACCTTGGCACGTTCCTTGGCGCGTTCCGTGGCGAGTCCACCTGGCACGTCGCGCGGCGCGTCCCCTGGCACGTCCCTCGGCACGTCCACTGGCACGTTCCGTAGCGCGTCCCCTTGGCACGTCCCGCGGTGCGTGCCCATGGCACGTCCCCTGGCACGTCGCCTGGCGCGTCCCTTGGGACGTTCCGCGGCGCGTCCTCATGGCATGTTCCTTCTGTCGATTAGTTCTGTGGCAGCTACCATCTGCTCAGGCAGCTCGAGCTTACGCTCCAGATCAGTTCGGTGATGACTCGGATGCCAGGGAGGACTCGATCCACAACGCTATACACACATATATATATAGAGAGAGAGAGAGAGAGAGAGAGAGAGAGAGAGAGAGAGAGAGCACAATCGCGGCATGGCACATCGCAGTTCAGCACGGCGTAGCACAGAACAGCCCTCGGCACAGTAGATCATCATCGATACATTCAGCATTGCATGTGCCCGTCGCCCAATCAGGTGCCTTTGAAATGCTGCAATGCCTTAAATTTCTGTATTCCTTTCCGGGTTCGTGGGTCGATCATGTTTGTCCGTCAGCGGCGAGGTGGCGAAATCCGCTCCAGCGAGAAGCTACGCAGGGGCACAAACTAGCGAATTGGCCGGCGGGCATGGAGGGGGGGGGGGGGACGGTTCTGCACGCACGAAATGGGTACTGAAATAATGGGTACAATGCCCAACAGCGGATCTTGTGCATTCTGAACAGGATTCGCTGTCCACGCCGCCGCGGCCTGTGTCCATTCGAGACAGGAGGCCGCCTGCCAAACAGCGGCCGCTGTTGGTTTGGGACAACATTTGCTGTTGGGCATGTACCCATTTTTTCGGTACCCATTTCGGGCGTCCAAGACGGCCGAGAGGAGGATGGGACGCTCAGACGCCGAAGAGTTCGACGACAGAAACACACACACCCACACCCACACACCCACACCCCGACTCACACCCCCACCCACACACAATCAGACACAGACACACAGACACACAGACAGACACACAGACAGACAGACAGACACACAGACAGACACAGACAGACACACAGACAGACACACAGGCAGACACACAGCCAGACACACAGACAGACACAGAGACAGACACACAGACATCCGTAGCCATTTTGGCTCAAGGCCATGGAGCACCCGACGACCGCGAGTCGTCCGCGGCGCTCTGAGCGCGAGGGGCCCCGCGCTTCGGGCCAGCTCTCGCGTACGAGTTCTCAGGACCTCGGGTCTCAGCCGAGAGGCCGCAGTTTTGGGCCGCGAGGCCATTCGTCAGTTCCTGCATTGCCATGGTGGCGCACGGGCAGCCAGCTGGAGGCCGCTTTCGGGACGACGTCGCGGTCGGCGGCAAGGCCAAGTGCCAGTGGAGCTACTGGGTCTGCTCCAGCCGCCTCTGCAGGGAGTGGAACTGGTGCTCGCTATGGCAGTGCCGCAGCTGCGGCCGAGTGGCCCCGCCGTGGGTCAAGGCAGCCCAGCCGCCCGCGGCCGCCGCTGGCCTGGAGCAGCCTGCCGCTGACGCCGAGGGCTTCGTCGTCCAGCCCCGTGGGAGGAAAGCGAGGCGCCAGGCCAAGCGCGCTGCTGCCCGCGCAGCCAGCGCGGGGGCCGCCAGCCTGGCAGGCGCCAGCGAGGCCAGCAGCAGGCAGCAGTCGGCCGTTGAGCGGCACCGCCAGGAGGTCAAGCGCATCGAGGACTTCCTTGCGGCCCCTGGCGAGTCCATCGATGAGGCGTGCCTGCAGTCGCTGCGAACGGCCCTCGACCGTGAGCGTCGCAGGCTCGCGGCAGCGGAGGCGGCGCAGGTTGATCGCAGGAAGGCCGACACCCCCCTGCCCAAGGCGCCCCGCGGCGCTGGCAACGCCCTGGGTAAGATGGCCAGGCAGGGGCGGGCCAAGGAGCAGGCGCTGCTCAAGGAGGGGGAGGCCCACGCGGCGGCCATCACCGAGCGTGAGGAGGCAGTCGCTCGGGAGGCCGCGTGCGCAGAGGCCGTCGAGGAGTGCCGAGCTGCCCTCGAGGCTCGCCGCGAGGAGCAGAAGGTCGCTGAGGCCAGGCAGGCCCAGGAGGTTTGGGCAGCCTTCGCTTTCACGGACCTGCTCGGGCTGGTCTTCGGCCTCATTCAGCAGGTTGAGGCCTTGCCGCAGGGGTTCGCCGCGGGCAACGGGGAGGCCGCCTTCGCCGAGGTCGCCAGGCAGATCGCAGCGGCCCGCAGGCAGGCACCCCCTGAGTCCAAGGGCCGCTCATCCTGGGCAGACACTCCCGTCGACGTCTCCGACGAGGACCTCGATGGAGACGATGAGGAGCGGACCCGAGCGTCGTCGGTCCCGTCCTTGCAGGATACCGCCGAGCGGGGACAGGCATCGCGGCGAGGAGCGGCGCACGGCGCATGGCCCGCAGCCCGGCCGCTGGCCAGGAGCCTTGCCAACGCTGGAGCGGCCCTCCTCGACGGCCAGCCGCTGGCCACGGCGGCTGCTGGCCCTGCTGCTGGCAGCCGCAGGTGTCCTTGACGTCGCTGCGGCAGGCCCGTGTGCTGATAGCAGCAGGGGGGTTAGGCAGCGCCCGAGCGGGCCACCTGCGAGGTCGGCACCAGGCTGTGGTGGAGCGTTGAGGGCCGCCGACGGGCGGGTGGCCGATGCCCCTCACCCCCCCGCGCTCCCCGTCGAGGCCGCTGGCGAGCGGGTGGCCGAGTTCCTCGACGGGTTTAGCGAAGCCGAGGTGCCGAGCGGCCAGAGGACGAGGATGACGGCGCAGGAGGCCTGCCTTGGCAAGGCTCGCTTCGGGCCTCCGCCCGCACCAGTGTCGGGCCCTGGCAGTCCGTGCCCTCTGCGGGCTGGCCTGGAGGTGCTGGGCCGCAATGGCAACGTCTGGAACAGGAGCGTCGAGGTCATCGAGGCCTTCTTCCACGCCCACCAGTACTTGCCGCAGCTGGCCCTCCTGCGGGAGACGAGGCTGACCCAGGGGCGCATGCCTGGGGCCAGGGCGACGGCGCGCCGTCTCGGATACACCGCCTTCCTTCGCGAGGCGGTGGCCGCGGAGCAGTCTGGCCCTAACGCCACGCCGGGCGGCGTCACGATCCAGGTGAGGGTCGGGCTCCAGGCCGAGGAGCTGGGCTGGCCGGCTGCGGTCCGCGGGCAGGTGCTGGGGCTTTCGGAGGCGTCTTGCTGTGCCCAGGGCCTGGGGCGCGTCTTTGACTGTTTCTTCGCGTCGTCGGACCTGGCCACCTGCGCGGCGTCCTGCACGACCGCGCTCAGTGACTTCGGGCTGCGCCAGCATTCCTCTGTGCCGCTGCGCCTCCAGGACGTCAGGTGCGTCGCCCTGGTCGAGGTGCCCTCCCGTCCCGCGCGGGTTCCTGAGGTGGAGGGCAAGGGTCTGCGGCCCCGCGTGGACGCCCTGGCCCAGGCCTTCACTGTCGGCAAGCGCGGGAAGGTGGCGCAGAAGGAGGTAACGTGGTCATGGGCTCAGGGTTCGTGCCCGATATGTCTCTCCGCTGCCTTCGGCGAGTGGATCGAGGCGACGGAGGGCACTCTCACGGGCGTCCACGAGATCGCGCCAGGCGGCTTGCCGCGCTACCTTGGGCGTGCGGCATGGCCCAAGTTCAGGCGCATGCCCTCCTGCGCGCTGGTGCAGCGGGAGGCCAGCTTTAAGTGCAGCATGCTGACCCACCGCCTGAGGAGCTGCCTTGCCGTCGCCTTCCAGAGGATTCGGGCGGAGCAGGCCTGCAGGTGGCACCCGAACCCTTCATGGTGGCACGAGCAGGAGGAGGCGGCGAGAGCGAAGCTCCTAGACGAAGCGCCCCAGGATGCGACTGGCCTTCGGAGCGAGGCCCTCCCTGGAACCTCCGACGAGAAGTGGGGCGACCTTGTCTTCCACGCGGGAGTGATGGGCTGCCCCACGGCGATCGCCAAGTTGCAGTCGTGGCTCCTGGTGTCCCAGAGGCGCGATGCTGCCGAGGGCGCGGCAGCTTGGCGCAGCTGGGCCCAGACGGCTGTGGAGAAAGGAGGCCGCCTGGCCCACCGCTTCTCCAAGGCGGCTCCCACGCCCGTGGTCAGGGTCGCCGACACTGGGAGGCCGCTCGTCGGCATGGGCGCCGTGGACCAGCTCACGCCCACGCTTCAGCGGCTCTGGCTCCAGGAGGGCTTCTCCCGCGGGGTCGGAGCCCACAGGTGGGATTTTGGCTCGTGGACGCTGCCGCCCATCACCTTGGAGGACCTGCAGCAGGCGTGCTGGCGCTACGGCCCGTCTGTGGGGCTGGGCTGCGACAACTTGCACCCTCGCCAGCTCCTCCTGCTGCCAGAGGAGCTGCAGCTTCGCTTATTGACATCCTGTTGGCTTTCGAGGACGAGCCTTCTTGGACGTGGCCCGGAGTGCAGCCTTATGCACCAGCAGGAGTCGCGGGCAGCGCCTGGGTGGCTGGTGCTGCCGAGGGCGGCGCAGGCGATGCGGCCGCCTCATCGGCCGAGGGGCCCGCGACGGCTGGCGGCACCGCGGACGGAGCGGGATCGCGGAAGGCCTGGCTGGATGCGTTCGGCCGCGATGAGGAGAGCCTGCTGAGCTGGGCGGAGGAGGCCGACGAGGCCGACTCGAGCGCCAGGGCAATTTGGACCCCTGGTGGCCGCGAGCCTCTGCGTGTGGGCGTGAAGGTTCCCGCGCTTCGCCTGCCCCGCCGTGCCGCTTGGAGTGTGCTGGCATGTTTGGGGCTTCGCCCGTCGCGTGTTTGCACAGCTGTATATATTCCAGCGCTTCGCGCTGATGCCCCTTGACGGGGGCTCGCGCTGACTGGCCGAGTGGAGCCTCGGGGCCGAGGTGCCCTGGTGGCAGCCCTTTGCGGCTCGATTTGGCTCTCGGGATCCCCTGAGGCCCGCCCCTGTCTTGGGATGGCCCCTTGGGGCCTGGGCCCCTCAGTGGCGCCTGGGCCCCTCCATGGGTTTCTTTCTACCTTTATAGGCCCCGCGCTACCAGACACACAGACAGGCACACGGAGATAGACAGACAGACAGAGACAGCCAGACAGACAGAGACAGACAGACAGAAACAGACAGACAGAGACAGACAGACAGACAGAGGCAGACAGACAGAGACAGACAGACAGAGACAGTCAGGCAGAGACAGACAGACAGACAGAGACAGACAGACACAGACCGACAGAGACAGACAGACAGAGACAGACAGACACAGACAGACAGGCAGAGACAGACAGACACAGACAGACAGGCAGACAGACAGACAGGCAGGCAGACAGACAGACACACAGACAGACACACAGACACACAGACACACAGGCACACACGCACACACACACACCGCTTACAAATCTCGTGCCCCCAGGAGAGCCTCGTATTTGCGCTGGTGGGTGCTATCGCTTCCCTCCTGGCTGGCGCAGAAGGCCTCGTATTCGGAGTGTGGGCGACCATCCTCTGCTTCGCTGCTCGTGGACTAGCCGTCCCTGCGTGCGCCGCCGTATCCAACATAAGCAAGAGCATAGCAGGTCATTTTGAGGAGAGGAGTCCCCAAAATGTGATCACGTGGAAGCACCAACTGGCCATGTGGAACAGCGGATTGCGCGGTAGTGTGTCCTTGTTCCTGGCCCTGGAGCTGAACCCAGCGTGGTGTGGCACCTCTGGGAAGCTTGTTATTGTCGAAGGTACGTTTTTGGTCATCGTCGTGGTGTTGATTCTGGAGGGGATCAGCACCGAGTGGCTGCTCGGCTTCCTGGGCATGGTGCACAACACACGGGAGGTAAACCTGAACGCAAACAGATCTTCGTCCAAGGGCCTACGGCTCATTCCGCCACCGTGTTCGTGCAGCGCCCTGTATGTATGTCTCTCGTCTCGGGGTCCAGGTGGGCCGTATCGTGTAACAGCTCGATTCCCTAGAACAGGGCAGGCCGTGACGTGTAGAAAAAGATACGGGGGGATACACACTTTATGTCTACACGTTTTTGTGCACATATTTACAGATGAGAGAGAGAGAGAGATAACAAGGGCGGGATAGACTCATTCTTGGTGTAGACACATACGCACATGTTATGTGTACAATGTGTGTATAGGCGTGTGTATACATATGTATATTATATGTATGTATGTATGTATGTATGTATGTATGCATGCATGCATGCATGCATGTATGCATGTGTTTATGTATGTATGTATGTATGTATGTATGTATGTATGTGTGTGTGTATGTGTGTGTATGTATGTATGTATGTATGTATGTATGTATGTATGTATGTATGTATGTATGTATGTATGTATGTATGTATGTATGTATGTGTATATACATATATATGTGTGTATATATATATATATAGATATATACCGGGGAATGGGACCTGGGGCCGCCAGATTGGTGCTTCGGACCCCCATGGGGGCCACGGGGCTCCAGGACGCTCCCGGGGGCCCGAACCTCGACCACTCATCTGGAACCCTGGGCCCGGGCCGCCTCTGAGCGGGCTGAAATCGCCGTCGGGTGCCCTCAGACAGCCGTCCCGACAGTCTTGGACGGTCTCGAGACGTTCCCAAGACTGCCTCCAGGCGTCTCCATCCGCCCACGATATGTTTTAAACTACCCAGGAAGCCCCCCAGAGACGTCCCAAGACGCTTCAAGATGCCGCCCTAGAGCGGCCCGAGAGGCCCAAATCGTTGATTTTCATTAGTTTGTTTTCTCTGTTTTTGGCATTCTCCCTGTTTCGGCTTTCCGACGCTCCAAGACCGCCCAAGAGGCTCCCGAGACCGCTCGAAGACGGCCCCAGAGCCTCCCAAGAGAGCCCCAAGACGGCCCAAGAGAGCCCCAAGACTGCCCCCAGATTCGCCCAAGACGGCCCAAGAGAGCCCAAAAAGGCTCCAGGAGCCCTCGGACAGCCGTTCCGGCGGCCCCAGACGGTTTCGAGACGCTCCGAAGACCGCCTCCAGGCGTCTCCAGGCGTCTTAAGCTGCCGAGGACGTCCCCCGAGACGCCCCAAGAGGCGGGAAGATGCCGCCGACGAGCGGCCAGAGAGGCGAAACTCGTTGATTTTCATGAGTATGTTCAATGTTTTTTGCTTCCTCGCTGTGTTGATTTCCGACGCTCAAAGACCGCCGCAGAGGCTCCCTAGACCGCTCCAAGACGGCCCAGGAGCCTCCAACAGAGCTCCTAGACGGCCCAAGAGAGCCCCAAGACTGCCCCCAGGCCCGCCCAAGACGGCCGAAGAGGGCCCGCAGAAGGCCGCAGGAGCCCTTGGACAGCCGTCCCGGCGGCCCCAGACGTTCTCGAGACGCTCCCAAGACCGCCTGCAGGTGTTTCCAGGGGCCCACGATGCGTCTGAAGCTGCCGAGGACGTCCCCCAAGACGCCCCAAAAGGCGTGAAAATGCAGCCGACGAGCGGCCAGAGAGGCGAAAATAGCTGATTTCCATTAATTGTTTTCAATGTTTTCTGCTTCCTCGCTGTTTCGGCTTTCCGACGCTCCTAGACCGGCCCAAAGGCTCCCCAGATCGCTCCAAGACAGCCCAAGAGACCCCCAAGATAGGCCGAAGACGCCCCAAGAGAACCTTGAGATTGTCCCCAGGCCCGGCCAAGACAGCCCAGGAGAACCCCAAGAAGGCGCCAAGAGCGGCCCAAGCGAGGGAACACGCACCGAACAGTCGAGCTCTCCGCCCCAAGATGCCCCCAGGAAGCCCCCAGAGGCCCCGAAGACAGTCCTGAAGGCCACTAAGAGGCCCCCAAAAGATCCAAAAGAGGCCTCGAGAGGCCCCAAAACGGCTTCCGAGAGGCTTCAAAACTGCCTTCCGAGGTCCCCCAAACATGCTCCGGAAACGCGCTGCCGGAGCACGTTGCCGCCTCTCTTTCCAGCGTTCGGTGCCTAATGAAGACTTCCGTGGACAACTGTGCACCCAAAGCTCCAGCCTTCTACCTCGAGAGGCCGCCAGGAGGCCCCACAAGGCCGCCCAGAGGCCCCCAAGGCGCTCCCAGGAGATCCCCTCAGAAGCGGTCTCCGAAGGTTCTTGGGCCGTCTGCCGGCCACTCTGGGCGTATTCTGGTACGGCGCCTCTCGCACAACATGCTCCGGAAACGCGTTGCCGGAGCACGTTGCCGCCTCTCCTTCCAACGTATGCATGTATGAACATATGTATGTGAAGATTGTTCATGTGTATGCATGCATGCAACCATGTATGCATGGATGTATGCATGTGTGCAGGTACATATGCACGCACACGTGTATATATACACATCATATACATGCACACACACATATATATATATATGCTTCTTCTATTCTCTGTGAGCAAGCTCCTGCTGTCTCCGCAGCTTCTCTGCCCAAGTGCCCCCCCGTCGGCCGCGCGTGCGGACGCCTTATGCAGGCGGTCGCACAAGCGGCTCTCGGGGGCGCTGGGGAGATCTTCTTCAGGGGGCTGCGGGCCGCGCTCTACGAGCGGCTCGTGTCTGCCCCCCTCTCTGTGCTTCAGGACCAAGGGCCTCCTGCGCCTGCCTGGTCCATCCAGCAGGCGGACTCGTCCGAGGGTGAGGGGGCTTACTGCCCCCTCCCTTCGGCGGGTTCCGCCTGCCCCACCGTCTGCCTCGGGCTGGCGGTGGATCTGAGCGGCGGGGTCTCTCCCTGGCTGCTCAGCACGGTCGTCGCCCTCCTTTGGGTGACGGCCGCGTGCAGCGCCTGCGCAGGCTGCTGCTTCGGGCTGCTGGGCCCGTACGTGTGGCGGAGGCTCAGGGCCTCCGCCTGGCCGCGCGGTGCGGTTCCTGCTTCCCCTGAGCAGGACCGCCGTGCGGCGCGAGCGCTGGCTTACGGGGTTCCGCCTCGGCCTCGAGCGCTCGAGCGGGCAGGCGCCCAGCATTCGGGCGGCAGTTCCCACGACAGCGCCCATTGATGGCTGAGCTGCCACCAGTTGGCGGAGGGCCTCTATGGCCCGAGCTCTACCCATTCGCGGCTCCCACGGCTCGCGATTACGCACGATGGCGCCTAGACGACGGCGACACCAGCTGGGCAGCTATCCCCCTCGCGTCTCGAGAAGGGGGCATCCTTCTGGCCCTGCCTGGCGCCTTTCGCTCTACGGCGGAGCTCGTGGCTGCCGAGGCGGATGGCTTTGCAGGAATGATAGGCCCTTTCCAGCTAGTGGACGTCCAGCTCCAGGGGGCCGCTTCACGGCCGCTCGCCACTACTGCATCCGTCCTCGTCGTAGATATCGAGGTTGCAGAGCTCGAGCTCGAGTCGCTTTACCCTCTAGAGGTCGGGGAGGACGCAGTCATCGTTCCCTTCGCCGAGGTGCGGGGCCGCGTCTATTGGCCACATCCTTCGGGGGTTCGGGTGCTTCGCGAGGGCTACGCACGCTTGCACGGCGCCCCGCCTACTGCAGGAGAAGAGCCGCTCCCAGGGGCCGATCGGGCTACTCCCTATCACTCTGCCGACGAGATGGAGGAGCCCGAGGGGTTCGCGGCCGACGGGGAAGCCGACCGCACGGCCCCAAGTGCGCGATCTCCCGCGGACGCTGGAGCGCCGCGCGGCCCGCCCGCGAAGCGCGCGGGCACCGCCGCGCCGCCGCGGGTCGCGGGTCCCGTTCCGATCGCCCCTGGTGCCCCTGCGGCGTCTCTGGACGACGGGGCTCCTATGACCCGTGCCGAAGTAGCTGCCGAAATGCGCGCCTTGCTTGCAGCCCACGCGGCCTCCACGATGGTCGGCAGACCCGAGCCGCTGGGCCCCGCGCCGGCTGCCCGGAGCGATCGGCCCGAGGTGCCTCAGCTTTTCAGCGACGAAGCGGTGCGCCTCGGGCTGGATCCTGCGGGGATCGAGGCCGTCCTGTCTCACGCGCCCGTGGCCCCACAGCGGGTCTCCGCGCGTCCCAAGGGTCCGACCTCCGCGCTGGTCTCGGCGTGGGAAAAGGCGCGCTCTCTTGCTGTCCCTCGGGCCCCTTCGTCCGGTTTCGGAGCGATGGGTCCCCCGCCGCCACCTGGGCTAGCCCATCCCGCTGCGGCCGACGGCTTTGCCGAGGCGGGCGGCGCCGACGGGTCAGAGCCGCCCCATGCGGCCAATCCGACGGACTTCAGCCTCATGCTACAGTGCCTGCACCAGTCCCTCCTATTGCAGCAGGGGCGGGGCCATCGCCCAACCGTCCATCCGCTTCTGGGGACCCTGAGCGACTCAGCTCAAATTCCGCCCACGAGCTCGGGCGACCCCGCGCCCGCATCGGCCCAGATGGGGGGCATTGCTCGGAGGCGCGAGTGGCAGCAAGCGCTGCTACAGCACGGCCCCGATGTGCGAGGACTGATGAAGGAGAATTTGGCCCGTGTCCTGGGCGTGGAAGTCAGCGCCGTGACCCCCATGGCCATGCATCAGTATTTTCGGGAGCACAGTCCCTTGGGGGCTCAGCCGACGACGCACGAGTTGTTGACGCATTTCGCCTTCCTCAGCGCCGAGCTGTGGCGGGCCTGCGAAGAGGGCAACCCCGAGAGAGTCCAGACTTTACTGACGTGTCAGTGCATGTTCATCGACCAGCTGGCGGGGGACCGCGGCTATCTCGAGGCCGCCTGGTTCCTTACGGGGCTGGAGCCTCCCCCGTGTCGCGTGACCAGTCGTCACACGGAGCGCGAGGCCCAGACCCCGTTCTCACCCCTGGTGGATCCTCGCTGGCTGTCGGCGCAGGTCGAATACGTGAAGGAGCTGCAAGCATTTCGGGCGCGTCTCGACGCCGAGCGCGCCGTCGCGCTCCCCAAGCACCCACCTCATCAGCCCAAGCAGCCCAAGGTTTCGAAGCCC